TTATTATATTTTTTTCAAAAACTGCTAAAATTATTACTTTTGGCTTAAAACTTCTTTTTAGTAAGATGAGATGGGTTAGGCTATTTGTTTTTGGTAAGATACTTTAAGACTTATGTGAACTAACATTACAATTATATATATTAAATATTGTGTTATTTTTAGATAAGCAGATACAGCTTATATTATTACAGTTTAATTCAGAGAAGCTTCGATTTACTTGGTTGGCACGCGAAGAAATTATTCATACCTCATTTGAGAAACATGATGTAGGAGCAATGATTGAGATCTATTTAATTGTAAAAGTTTGTAATGGTATACAATTCTATACTTCAAAATATTTACACAACTTGTTTATTTTAGAAAATAATGAAAGAAAATTATGAAGTAATTTTGAAAATAATACAAGAAATAGAAAGAGATCCTTCTCAAGAGGAATCCATTCAGGCATTTGAATATCTTCAGCAAGTTATTCGGCTGACCCCTGCCTCACCCCTAAAATGCAAAAAAGAGTCATTAAATTGATTATCAAGAAATAGGATAATGAACACTATATATTTCTATTATGTGCTTTTTAGTATTAGCTGATTGTTATCAATTTGCTGTTTTTAGTTTTAGTTTTTACTTGAATAATATCTTTGGCAAGAAACTTAAATATAAAATATAAATTTTATATATACATATAATTATAATTTTATACAATTACAATTTTATTTATAATCGCTTTATATATTTTTTACAGTATTTAAAAATAAATGTTTCTATTTAAAAATTTAATGAATCCTTAAACCATTTTAATAATAATTGTTATTGGTAAGTATGCCGGAAGTAAAGCTATCAAAGAAATTAAAGTGGATGAAGCTTAACGTCCATTTATAAATCAAAGTCTGAACTCTAATGAATCATTTAGTTAAAGATAAATATGAATTTGAATACGATTAGAATTAATTTTTTTTCTCGTAAATAATTTTTCTTAATTGTATGAATTATGAAAATTATAAGTATGAGCTCTTATAAATATAAGTTTACTAATGTGAAGAATTTAAACTTTGTTTATATCATTAAATTCTTAGTGGTCGATAAATTTCTGTTACGCTACAACTTTCTTGGAATCTTATTGATTATTGCGTAGTATTTATATTTTTTTCTCATATTTTTATGCTGAAAATTTTTTAATTAAAAAATTACATCAAATATATTTTAACACGCGTAACTGATCAGCACCATATATAATATTAATCGTTATCATTATCATAA